TCCCTCAACACTCAGGACAAAGGTTGCTGCTTTTAACTTAACTGTATTACCGTGCAATTTTGTATCACCATGGTAACATGTGCATCGTCTTCATTCTTGAACTCCCTCGATAACCTGAGATGAAATTTTCTCAACGGATTTTCTTTGATGTTATGTCAAAAATATTTGCTGCAGTATATACTCTTGTGTGTTTAAGATACAAGAAAATAACTGGCCAAAAACACAGGTAAATATAGCTTGAGTATAGAGAGCAGTATTATGGAAAGGAAATGCTGCACAAAATGCCTTTGAATTATTCGGACACATGGGGTTAGTTCAGCATCTTTTATGGCCTTCGAGCGGAAGCTTGTCCCTTACTGGATATTTTCTTCCAATGACCTCAGGGATGAAAATGCATGCTCTAATCAGAAATCACCTTTTTATAGAAGTTTGAGGATAATTTTTCCTCAATCCCAGTGGCTGTAGGTCTTAAAATCTGCCTAAACAAGGAAAGGCTCACAAGCACAATGGGTCACAGTACTTGCCAACTCCTCCAGGGAAAAACGTTTTCACCTCACATCCTCTCACCACAATGTGATAAACCTTTCAGGGAGAATGCCACCGGGATTAAGTCCCCAAATTATCTTTCCAGGTCCTCTCAGTGAAGTGCAAGCTTGTGACAATAATCGAAAATGAATTGCCCATCAACTTCTCTATTTGTGTGTAACATGTCTTTCACATCAGTAATACTCTTTTGGCACTTTTCTTTACATGAATAAAAATGTAAGTTTTTAAAAGTGTCATGAAATTCTTGAAACAAACAATATGAAAATATGTATAATTTATAATATGTGAAGTGAAGTATGCATAATTAATGTACAAACATGAAAATTTGCATTTAATGAATATTTGTGAAAATGAATTTCACTACCGTAAATATCCATCCGTAAAAAGTCAAGTATTGACTTTTGACAACTGTACATGTACAAGGTGGTTATGTTTTAGTCAACAGTTACAAATACGACTCATCAATTCAATGAACTCAAGTACTGCCTTGTACTACATGTATATGTACACAAAATTGAAACAGTCTGTGGAATTCCAGTGAATATGTACACCCTTAGCGCAATAAAGAATTTGTACAAAACAAATTTCAAGCAAATCTCTTTATATATATCTCAATGTAAAGAACAGTTTCAAGAAACGCCATTAAATATTGAAGACACACTAAAAAAAAAAGACTGAACGGCTAAACTTTACTTGTGAGAACTGGCATAAAACTGTTGAGAAACGTCTTGAAGACTAAATATACGCCTATGGCTGTCTAATATGGTGACCATACATTAAAGTAAAAGATGTACCTTGATACAATAGAATTATTCTGTTCAATGCAGTGTGCATAACCCATTGAGTGACTGCTCCAGGGAATGAGGGCTCTCAAACTCACACAAATGAAACGTTAGCAAACGTATGCAATACAAATGAGAACCAATACTTCCAAGTAAATCATTTACATGTACCTTAAGGTAATGGTATTAATACTAGATTGAATACATGGTACATCATATACACATGTTTGCAAACATGTAACAACCAACTTCAGGTGCTTTCTGCAAGTACATGTATTTGCAGGAGTTTATCAGAGCAGGAGTCTTCAGCCATGCACATGCAACAGAATTTGTCAAAAGCCTACAAATGGTAGTGGATTTTATTCAAGTCAGCCTTTTTCTTGCATGTGGGATCTGCAAATGAGCAGCACAGCCAAATTTAACTTTTTTCCCCTCAATTTTCTGTCTGTGAATTGTAGTTCATTTGAAATTTGATGACACTTTTCACAAAACTGGTAAAAAACTGTGAACAACATTTAAAGTATTTGCGCTAATTTTTGTCTTTGTGTCCAATAATAGTAGACTGAATTCACTCAATAAAAGACCAAAGTTTATCAAGAATCAAGGTGAACCCTTGTGTATCAAGGATAAAATGGTTTAAAACATGTTTAAATGATGTTTGACTATTGTCAACACATTCCTTACGGGCCCACTGCATTTGCAGTTTAGGTGCTGTGACTGTCATTTTCAATGAGGGTTGGCGAAGTATTTGCTGCCCTCTGGTGAGTGATCCAAACAACTTTCTAAGAAGGCATCGAGTGAAATATAATACCTCCTAAGTGAAATATAAGCAAGGTTGTCATATCACTTTTTGACAGGGATGACAGCAGTACCAACATTCTAGAAGATATTTACCCTGACAGAGAGAACAGTTGGAAAAATACTTCAAATTATTCTGAGGAGTACTGTACTCTGAGGAGTAATCAGTGACCAGATTGTAACATGACAGATGACAACGTGGATTCCCTGAAGCTGGGACAAGATGGATAGATATTTCAAAACAAAAGCAATTTCCCTGACAATTTCACCTGAGACAGTGGCTAAAAGCCACCGCAAGGGAAAATTTGTGATATCTGTCTATGAAACTCTTACCATTTGTTATTCAGTGGATTACAGAGCATGATATAAAACACGGCCATAAAGAAAAAAGTGAAAAAAAAACTCCAGTTGTCTGATCCGACAGACTCCTGCATGCAGCAAGTGGGTCTGAAACCCGAGACATGTCCATAATTACTGACAAGTTCTCTTTGAGTTTTTAGTATATTAAAAAAAGAACCCTGTTTTAGCAGTCTAAAAACACTGCATTCAGATGAGAAAACAGTTTATTATTTAAAAAAAAACAAACACTTAACGCCTGGTTTGGAAGTACATGTACATTTAAAAAAAACATTTTTTTCAAAATTTCATTATGTTAAGTTGGTGGATTTGTAATCAAACTGATAAAAATTGTTGGCCGCACCTCTGCAATCTCTTGCCACCTTGGACTCCTGTAAACTTGTACTGTAAGCCAAGTACAAGCCTGCCAAACCTGCAATAAGACTTTTCCAATAAACAAGTATAAGTGATATGTTGAGATTGCAAAGTATCCAACAACTCCATCAATCTTATCAAATGACCATAACATTTGTATTTTTGCAAAAACACCAGGTGAAGTCTCCTTCTCTGGTCATTTTGTTTGATTGATAAGACACGATTGCAAGCCAAACGGCATGACACTTATCAGTGATAATGCTTTAGAAACCCACAGTGTTTTTGTCAATTGCAAATTTATACTGATGCATCATTTAGTCTCCTTCATTACTTTGGAAGTGAAGATATCCCTTGTGTAATTTCATAGAGCTGCTTAAGCACAGAATTTTCTTAAGTGCAAAAAAATCTTGCTTAATAAACAAAGGATACCAGCTCAAACTCTATGTGATTGTCATGCTAACCAAAAGACAGGTAAATACCATTCCAAAACAATACATATCACAAGAAGTTTTGGCAGGTAACATGATTTGTCAAGCAAGTTTTTTTCACGCTTAAACAAATTTTCCGCTTAAGTGGCGCTATGAGATCGGCCTCTGATCTTGAGTCTCCATATAATAAAACATACATTTGCAGTCACTTATTTTTTAAAAAATTTTGTCTGACAAACAGACAAGGGGCAGAGGTAACAAGTTTGGAAAGCAAAATTTTTCCCATGTTTTACAGCATTTTCCAAGAATATACAGCCATGACTAAACAGAGCATTCCGGGACAGAAATATAAATTGGCCTTAAGAAGTGATCCTTGTCAAGAGAAGCTAGATCAGATTCTTCATTTTCATCATTCAAGACCCACATTTTGGAATTTTACAAAACAAAGTTCAGCTCTAGCTTCAAATCCGATAATGTATGTACTTGGGTGTCCAACTGTTGCTGTGCAGGCTGCAGATATTAATAAATTTTTCTTATTTTCTTTGTTCATTTTCTACCTGTCTTTTCCACTTAATATTTGGTTTTATTTTTGGTGGGGGGGTCATCATGTGGTAGGATGGCTCTGTGGAGGTGCTGGTCACCTGTTCCATTTTGCCATTCACTGGCTTTTTTATAGCCGTCTTCTGTTTGTTGTGCCATGTCAATTGTTTTATGTATTTAATTTTTGGTTTAATAGCCAGTAGATAAGTGTGAAAAAATGTATAAAAAATAAGAATAGAAGTCCAATTTTTAGCTAATTGTATGTATTTAACTAAGGCTGATTCTGCTGAAACATTGAAAAAACGCTTGGACTACTGGACAGTGCCTTTGAGGTACGTACAGGCAAAACAATCATTTAGTCATTGCAAGAGATGGTGCTACTTTGAAACTTTTGTCTGAAATAAAATATGAATATGGTGACTCACTTGGTTGGGTAATACCTTATCGTGGAGACTCGCATCTTCTGAACAATTTTCAAGAGGTATTGACAAAAATTTACTGGGATGCTGGCCTGAAGGA